CTCCCTCCCCCTCTTCCTCCTTTTCTTCTTCCTCTTCTTCCTTTCTACAACCTCCTTACTAACACAGTCCTGGTTTATAAGCCCTAATCTATCTGGCTCCCAAATAATAAGTCAATCAAGAAAATCCTGTTCCCTAGATTTCCAACTCTCCTGGAAGCTGGCATGCTCATGTGACCAACTTCTGGCCAATAAAACATCAGAATTGTGGAAGCCATTCCAGGAAAACGTTTCTCTTTCCTGATGAAGGGGTGGAAGCGACTGACAGAGATCTTGGTCTTTTTGTCAGTTTCCCATCTTGAATACTGATGTGGTGGCTAAAGCTACTGAGACAGCTCTCTTGCAACTAAGAGAGAAAAATCTAAGACACACTGACCGTCACTGAACATGTGAGGTCAATCTTTGTTAATTCTCTAGAGAGATTTTATGTGAGAAAATGGCATGTGATTTATGACTCCATAGTTGAGAATCTACCACTTGCAGCCAAACACATCTCTGAAGATGATGTACCTTACCCTGAGGTTAGGTTCGATCAAAACTGGATCCTGGGAAGGGAGAGATGGCTCAGCTGTTAAGAACACTGGCTATTCTTGCAGAGGAGCTTGGTTTGGTTCTCAGCACCCACATGGTGGCTAACAACTGTCTGTAACTCCAGTTCCAGGGGGATATAATGCCCTCTTCTGGCCTCCTTAGGCAATGCATAACATGGGTATACTTACATATATGCAGGCAAAGCACTCATACACATCTAAAAAAAAACCTGGGTTGGCTGGGCATGGTGGCTCACGCCTTTAATCCCAGCACTCCGGAGGCAGAGGCAGGCAGATCTCTGTGAGTTCAAGGCCAGCCTGGTCTACAGAGTGAGTTCCAGGCCAGCTGGGGTTACAGGGAAACCCTGTCTCAAATACAAAAAAAAAAAAAAGTCAGTTTCTCAGTAATGTTAACATTTTCAGATCCTTATTTCATAAGTTGTAGTCATTGGGTCTTTAGAAGGATGTATACAGTCCATGTAAGTTGCTGAACTTAGAGCACAAAGTTGCTAATATTATTTTTTAAATAAATAATTTATTGA